CTACAAAAAAAATTTAACTTGGTACTTTGCTGTGTCTAAGGGTAATGTACAAGTTCCCTTTAAGTTTTGAAAACCAGCCTTCATTTTTTTTCTGTTGGGATATCATAAAGCTTGCTATTCTTCCCCCAGAAGAATCCTTTCAGTTGTTTAGTAAATAGGCTCCAGTGAGTTTACAGAGCTCTATAAAGCCAAAGTCTTTAACTTGCCTGTGCTCCCCAGCCTTTTGGAATTACCCAGTCATTTTCAGAGATAATGTATGGAAATATTCAGAGAGCACAGAAAGTGCTTTGCATACGAATGATCTCTTGTGCGGTAATTGATATGCAGCTATAACATGAGGCCAAGAAAACAAACAAACAAATAAACAAGCAATGTAATGGCAAGCGTGGACTTGCTCTATCAGACGGCTTTATGTTGCCATAAGTAGAAAAGTTACAGCATAGTTACTATTTATTAAAAGTTCTCGACAAACACTTTTATCCCAGGCCTTAAAAAACGTGTTACCAATAAGGATTACCAACAACAGCAGGCTTAATCATCTTCCAGAAAGGCTTGGTATAAGTAAATAGAGCTGATATTGATTTAAATCACAGGTAATGGTTCACCAATTACTGTACAGCAAGCCTATTATAGCTGTTGGGTACTGATAACTGGCTTTGAAAATCATCATTTTTGCTATTGATGAGAAAAGTTCTGTAGTTTGCCTATAAACTGAGAACAGCTGGATGTTTTTTCCCGACTAGCCATAGCACTATAACACCGCTTGCATGATTCCAATTTAACAAAAAAAACGATAGCTAGCCAATCACCAAAATGGTCCAGCAGCCCAAAGGCTATTGAAGTTTTTCTTATTGGTTGAACTCAAGGGATGTATCTTTTTTCAACTTGGCTATGTAACTATGTAGCATCTGGCTCTCTCAATGCATTTTTACTGTTAGATGCTGTCCTATCGCATGCATTTAAAAAAAAAATAGACATTGGGTTATGTGGTCAAACGTATGGGGACACCCTTTCAGGTATTCCTAAAGAAAGATGCTGTTAATGCTACTGCATACAAAATCATTTTAGATAATTATACACTATTAACCTTGAGGCAACAGTCTGAGGAAAACCCTTTTCTATTCCAGCATGGCTTCCTGTGCCCTTGTGCATTAAGCCAGGTGCATGAAGAAATGGTTTGATGAGTTTGGTGTGGAGGAAATCGAGTAGCTTGCAGAGAGCCTTTACCTCAACACTACTAAACACCTTTGGCCAGGTCATCCTGTCCAATATCAGTACCTACTGTTTTGGCTGAATGGGACCAAATTCCAATAGGCCATGGGTTATATATGAACAAATGAAGATGGACACCAGGCCCAGACTGGGACAAAAAATAGGCCTGGGCATTTTAAGCTGAGCAGCCAAATTTCCAGGGTGGGTGGGGAATGTGTGTGCAAGGGCATTTGCGGGGGCAGTCGGTGACATGACGGAATATTCATGGAGTCAGTCCTACACACTATAATATAAAGGGGCACCGTGATATAAAGGGGACTTCACTGTAAAGGGGCACTGTATTGATTACAGTACCCTTTACAGCACAGTCCCCTTTATATCTCAGTGCCCCTTTACTCAGTGCCCATAGAGATCCAATCACAGTGCCCCCTATATATTCAAAGAGATGGCTCAATCCAGCAAAGAGACATTCCCATATAGCAAAGACAGGATGTCTCTTTGCTGGACAGGGATATCTCTTTGCTGGATGGGGATGTCCCTTCTTGGACTTGGCTGTCTCTTTTGCTGGATTGGGATGTTTCTTTGCTGGACCCAACTGGGCAAAGATACAGCCCAGTCCAGCAAAGAGACAGACCGTCCAGCAAAGAGAAATCCCCATATAGCAAAGATGGGATGTTTCTTTGCTGGATAGGGATGTCTCCTTGCTCGGTGGGGATGTCCCTTCTTGGAGTGGGCTGTCTCTTTGCTGGATTGGGATGTCTCTTTGCTGAACACAACTGGGAAAGAGACAGCCCATCCAGCAGAGACAGCCATCCAGCAGAGACAGCCTGTTAAGCAATGAGACAGCTGTCCAGCAAAGAGACAGCTCATGCAGCAAAGAGACAGCTGTCCAGCAAAGAGACAGCCATCCAGCAAAGAGACAGCCCGTCTAGCAAAGAGACAGCCCATCCAGCACAGAGACAGCCCCTCCAGCAAAGAAACAGTCCATCCAGCAAACAGACAGCCCATCTAGCAAAGAGACAGCCCATCCAGCACAGAGACAGCCCCTCCAGCAAAGAAACAGTCCATCCAGCAAATAGACAGCCTCTCCAGCAAAGAGACAGCTCCACCAGCAAAGAGACAGCTCTTCCAGCAAAGAGACAGCCCCTCCAGCAAAGAGACAGCCCCTCCAGCAAAGAGACAGCCCTCCAGCAAAGAGACAGCTTGTCCAGCAAAGAGACAGCCATCCAGCAAAGAGACAGCCATCCAGCAAAGAGACAGCCATCCAGCAATGAGACAGCTCATCCAGCAAAGATACAGCCCCTCCAGCAAAGAGACAGCTCATGCAGCAAAGAGACAGCCCTTCCAGCAAAGAGACAGCTCATCCAGCAAAGAGACAGCCCATCCAGCAAAGAGACAGCTCCTCCAGCAAAGAGACAGCTCATCCAGCAAGAGACAGCCCATCCAGCAAAGAGACAGCTCATCCAGCAAAGAGACAGCCTTTCCAGCAAAGAACTCGAGTGGTTTGCAGAGAGCCCTGACTTCAACCCTACTGAACACCTTTGGCCAGGTCTTCTTGTGCAACGTCATTGGCTTCATGGGCTTAAATTTCCACAGACACATTTCAGAATCTTGTACAATGTTCCCAGAAGAGCGGACTCCCCACAAAGGGAGCGCCAATGCCATATTACTGCCATGGTTTTGGTAAGGGTTGTCCACTAAGCTTGTATAGGTTTGATTAGGACTTTATCCTCAGATAATAGGTGCAGGAACTCCCCTCTTCTGAGTCACCCCTTGTCTCTGCCCCTACGCACCTCCGAGCACTGTCCCATGGTTCCACCCCCTACCTACCTCCGAGCACTGTCCCTTTGTTCCACTCCCTACCCTTCTCCCAGTATCACTCCGTTTTGAGAATTCAGAACCAAATATCATTTTGTGGTGCTAAGTAATTTGTATGGAATTTGTTAATGATAAGAAAAGCAGTAAGATAGACTGCCCTGCATCCCACAGCAACAAAATATCACCCCGTGCAACAATAGATTTACCCCAGCAACAATAAACCCCAGTAGCAACAGGTCCCCCAGCATCCAGCATCAATAGACCTCTCCCTCAACAGTAGATCCCTCCCAGCAACATAAGACCCCTTCCAGCAACATAAGACCCCCCTCCCCCAGCACCAATAGATTCCTCACAAGCAACAGTAGACTCCCATGCAAAAATAGATCCCCTCCAGTAACAATAGATCCTCCAGCGGCCAGCATCAATAGAGCTTCCAGCACACCCCAGTACATACATTCAGTGCTGAAGGTGCTGGAACTGTGTTACCCCCCATTCGTGCTGAAAAAAAGTTCTGGGTTTACTATCAGGTGTCCTCAAGCATTTGACCATACGGTATATATTGTATATTTGTATAAGAGAATATAAAAATATAATATTTTATACATTTACAGAATAAATGTTTATCTATGAACTTGCTCCAACAGCTCATGCTAATGTGCTGTATAGATTTGCTGCTTTTCATTCTAAATGGCACTTCAATGCACATAAATAACGCAGCACTCAAAGCAGCTACCCTTCCGCACATCACAAAGCACAGATGTGAATGTCTGCATTGGCCAAAAATAGTGCAGGCATCTTTTTATGTGTGTTGAGGCTCATTAAAGGCCCATTCAAAGTGAACAAGCTGCCTTAATGTAATGTAAAATAATGCATGGAAAAAGCATGTTAATGTACATGCAATGCTGTGCATAGATCGTTAAAGTTTAACTAAACCCTACCAATAAACCATTCTTTTTTTTATCCCTTTTGATCCATTAAATATATCTATTGAAAGTGTTTTATTGGTTCTATAAGTGCATAAAATACATGTTGATCCTGCCAGAAATCCAATGAACTCCTAATTTCCTGTGCAGATGTATCTCAAGCTTGCTATCATTCTTGCCCAGACTACAGAACACCTTTTTCTTTTTAGGTTTTAGAGATGAGAAGGGGGTTTTCTGTAGTCCCAACACACTTCCTGTCCTATGGTGACATCTCCAGCCGAGATACAGTACAGTTAATGAGTTGTCACACTAGTACAGGAATTGTGTTAGGCCTCGTGCGCATGGAGCTTACTACAGCAATGCCTTACGAGGGTCATGTTTACCGGCACCAGAGGACTAAGCCCTGGTGGGCGGGACGAAACGCGTCAGTACCATGGCCGGCGGAGTAGTCCTGGCTGAGGCCATTTGCATACTCTCAGCCTGGGTTCACACTGATGCGGTCCGGAATTCACAGCGTTTTCTGTGCAAATTCCCGCATCAAAATCGCACCCCGTTCATGCGAACCGCTGTGGTTGTGTATGTTAAGTTAACAAAACTCTGAAATCGGTTCACAAGACGCGGTGTGATGTGCAGAATTGGATCGCATAGGTGTGAATACCCATGCAATCCGATTTAATGCGCACCAAAAAAAGGGTCCTGCACCTTATTGGTGCGGATGCAGTGCAATTTGAGCCATACAATACAGTATGTACACAATTTGCATGTGATTTCCACAGGAATGTGGTGCAGGTTCCCGTGCAGAATCACATGCGATGTACCAAACCGCATGAGTGTGAACCTAGCCTCAAACATCGGGTTGGTCTCATACTTTCTGTAAATATTTAATATTTCTCTTTTGACTGTCAATGTTACTTTAATTGGTGTTTTATTGTTTATGATTGTTATTTTTATGACTGCCTTGTTAATTACTCGACTCACCTTCTTGGATAACACACATAGGAAGATGAAGATGAACATTCCTTGGAAGGCGTTGGCGATGGTGAAGAGGTAAGCTGTAACCAGTGAGCCATTTACAACATGGAGGACACCAAACATCCAAGTGGCACCAAGGAGGAATAGGAGAGCAAGGGCACCCCGTGCACAGGACCTGCAAGAACAACCGTACAATTTTATGTTAAAGTGATTGTAAACCCTCACTTTGTAAAACAACCCATTCAGTTTAAAATAGAAATGAAAGGTAAAATATTCATGTAAATAAAAAACATTATTAATACCTTTTTTTCACCTTTTTTTTAAATAAGTGATCACATACCCTCTGATACCATAGAGAGGTAAGGGTGGGGAAACAACAGGACACTGGTCTTCTCAGTGAATGGGTGTGGGGGGGGGGGGGGGGGTTCTCAGCGATGTCTGATCATTGGAGGAGAGCAGGCTGAGTCACAGCTTGATCATTCTGTGCTCTCATGCCTAGTGTGGTCAGTTTTTAACAGGAAAGCAGAGGTACTGGCAGGAACACCAGGGATTTCACACAAAGGAAGCAATACAAAGAGAGCAAAACACTGTTTCATACAAGTACATAGTACAGCAAGCACATATCAGGAATATGAAATGTTGGGTTTACATATTATTTAAGGAATAATCTTAACTAGGGATGGACCGGTACTGATACCGATATAGGTATCAGTGCCGATGCTGAGTATTTTAATGAGTACTCGCACTTGTGAAATTGCTCCCAATATCTGAAACCGATACTTTGCGGTGCGATTTGCGTCAATAGACACAAATTGCACTGCAAAGAACAGCATGCGATTTGAACAGGAATGCAGTGAGATTCCTGTCTAAATCACATGCGGTTTCCCCACTGCTCCTGTGTGAACCCAGGCTTGTCATAGTCTCAGTTCACACAAGGAGAGTTGTGGGAAACCTTCCTGTTTGATCCCATTCTGAGCGGAGAGTGGCGTGGTGTGCGGATGTATACCATGGAGGCAGATGCTCCATATTCTCAGCTGTGGGAGAGGAGAGAAAAACGGCAGAGATTTTAAATCCCAGCCGCTTGCTCCCTTGCAGGGATGACAGCTCGGGCTAGAGAGCTTACATAGATGGTGCTGACGAATCAGAGCAGTCAAGCCCGAACTGTCATCCCTGCAAGAGAGTGGGAGAGAGAAGCATTTAGTTTTTTTAATTCTACCTAAAGTACACTGACATTGACATTTTTTATACTTTTTTTTAAATTGATCCTACCCAAAAGAGAAGAATATGATGACCCCTACCTTGACCCTAACACTTTCTTTCTTTCTTTCTTTCTTTCCTTGCAACTCTTCCATCAGAAGAGAAAGAAAACAACAGGGGCAGGCTGACACCCCAAACAGGCTTGATCTTTCTTTCTTTCTATTCTTTCTTTCTTTCTTTCTTTCTTTCCTGCAAGAGGAGAGAAGAATACAATGAATCTTTCTCTCCATCAGAAGAGAAAGAAAACACAGGGGCAGGCTCCACAGTGATTTTCTTTCACTTTGATTGCAGGAGAGGAGAGAAGAATACATGAATCTTTCTCTCCACAGAAGAGAAAGAAAACACAGGGGCAGGCTCAAACCTTGATCTATTCTCTTTCTTTCTCTTTTTTTCATTCTTTTTTCTTTCTCTTTCTTTCTTTCTTTCTTTCTTTCTTTCTTTTCCTTCCTCTCCTGCTAGGAGAGAAGGATGCAATGAATCTTTCTCTCCATTCAGAAGAGAAAGAAAACACAGGGGCGGGCTCCACAGTGATTTAATCACTGTGATGGCCATTTAGATGCTATCACAGCGATCAGGTGACTGGGAACTAGGAGTCTCAGGTCCCAATCATCAGTATGAGACCTGGGGCTTTTGTAAGAGACCTGTGTCTGTGGTGGGAGTGCACAGTGCACGCAGCACAAAGACAGGTACACATATATGCTGCCTCACAGATAAAGACCCACTTCTGTGAGGCTGCATATATGCATATTGCCAATGGGAAGGGGTTAAAGAAGTATTCAAAGTATGGCATTGTATACATAGTTACATTGTTCTACCTTGTACCAATGAAACTTTCAATATACTATATCTGTGGGATCCCTCTAGAAGCTGGAAATTGCTATTCTAGTCACTGCTTCCAGGTTCTCTGTGACTGCCCTGCTGCATTCTGAACACAAGAGGCCAGACGCTCAACGTAGTCACCATTCAGAGAATGCTTTGCATTCTGCAGTGGTCTTTGCAGTGCCTTTTGCATTTTTGCACACATTTTTTTTGATGTGTTTTTCATGCGTTTTGCATTTTAAGTTTTTTTATGGGATTTTTTGGCCAATTTGTTGCTGGGCAGATTAAAAAATGCAATCCATAAAAAGCGTGAAAAACACGCCTAAAATGCACTACATGTGCTTTCTGCAGCGTCTCCATTGAAATTTATTGAAACAAAAATGCACTGCTTTGCATTTAAAAAAGTCCCTGACCCTTTCCAAAAACACAGCAGCTGAAAAACGCATATATGCCCCATAGGAAACCACGTTAAATGGCCTGTAGTGTGTTTCTGCAAAAAACACTAAAAAGATGCATTGGTGTGAACTAGGCCTTAAAGTGATATTCTTAGCTGCTGAATGATATCTATCAGTTATTCGAAAGCAATCCTGCCCCTTGTCAGTGCCAATTAATATCAGCTGATTCAGTCTCAACTGATGGCCTATAGAAAGGTGTCTCATTACCAGGGTGTCATACAAGAAACATCTCATGATGGGTAAAAGCAAAGAGCTCTCTCAAGACCTTCACAACCTTATTGTTGCAAAACATACTGATGGCATTTGTTACAGAAGGATTTCTAAACTTCTGAATGTTCCAGTGAGCACTGCTGAGGCCATAATCCAGAAATGGAAAGAACATAATTTTACCATAACCATGGCCCTGTGCTCCTGGCAAGATTTCTAACAGAGGAGTAAAAATAATTATCAGAAGAAGAGTTGTCCAAGAGCCAAGCGCCACTTGTGGAGAGCTTCAGAAAGACCTGGAATTAGCAGGTACAATTGTTTCAAAGAAAACAATAAGTAATGCACTCAACCGCTGTGGCCTGTATGCACGCTCATTACGCAAGACTCCATTGCTGAAGAAAAAGCATGTTGAAGTTTGTTTAATGTTTGTTGCACAACATTTAGACACGTTTGTGAAATACTGGGAGAGTATAGTCTGTTCAGAGGAGACCAAAATTGAACTCTTTGGATGCCATAATACACATCATGTTTGGAGGTCAAATGGCACTGCACATCACCCCCAAAACACCATACCAACAGTGAAGCATGGAGGTGGGAACATCATGGTGTGGGGTTGTTTTTCAGCATACGGTACTGGCAAACTTTATGTCAGTGCAAGAAGGATGAATGTAAAAATGTAAAAAAATTATCTAGATAAAAATCTGCTGCCATCTACCAGGATGATGAAGATGAAACAAGGGAGGACATTTCAGCAAGACAATGATCCCAAAAACACAAAGCCAAGGAAACTCTCAACTGGTTTCAAAGAAAGAAAATAAAGCTGCTAGAATGGCCCAGCCAATCACCTGACTTGAATCCAATAGAAAATCTATGGAAAGAACTAGAGATCAGAGTTCATAGAAGAGGCCCACGGATCATTTGAAGATTTGAAGATGGTTTGTGTGGAAGATTGGGCCAAAATCACACCTGAGCAATGCATGCGACTAGTTTATCCATAGAGGAGACATCTTGAAGCTGTCATTACCAACAAAGGATTTTGTACGAAGCATTAAATACATTTCAATTAGGGTGTTTAATACTTTTTCCCTGTGCCATTCCATTTTATTACACATAACTTAATTTCTGAACTAATTTATTTTGGTTTCTTTGTATGTATGGATTTCATAGGTTGCTACCGACATGTGGTGAAAATTTCATGTCAATAGCACCTTTAGAAATATATTTACTGCGAAAAATGGTGACGTGTTCAATACTTATTTTACCTGCTGTATGACCCTGTTTACTTTCAAACTTGGCCAGGAATTTAACTGATTAAGGACCGCCCTATAGCAGATATACTGCTACAGGGCGGCACCTGTGCGCAAAATCACAGTATACTGTATATGTGAAATCACCATATACGTGATTTTGTATTTCTGGGTAGGGGGAGCGTGTGAGCCGTTTGCGTCGCCATTTGTGGCCACGGATGTCAATCACCGAATCCCGCCTGGTAATTACCTGCTGGCACCCGGTGATTACCGAGCATCTCTGATGAGGAGGAAGATTGTTTTGTTTACAAACAATCTTCCTCTCTGTCAGCTCCAGCACACTGCTCAGTGTGCTTACAGTAAAGCACACACCACCTGCTCCCTAGTAAACCACTCCCCAGCACATAGTTAACCCTTTGATCGCCCCTCACATTAACCCCTTCCTGCCCTGTGCCATTAGTACAGTGTCAGTGCTTTTTTTTAGCACTGATCACTGTATTGGTGTCACTAGGGTGTCAGTGACACAAAGTTAGTTCCCCCCAGTGTCAGAATGTCCGCTGCAGTCCTGTTGAAGTCGCTGTAGAAAAATAAAATCCCATTATCTATACCGCCATTTGTAAACGCTATAACTTTCATGCAAACCAATTCATTTATACATATTGGGATTTTTTATTAGCAAAGACATGTAGCAGAATACATTTTGGTCGAAATTTATGATGAAAGGTATTTTTTTACTGGACATGTTAAATAACCCATAAAATGGCCTGGTCATGAAGGGGGGGGGGGGGGGGGGGGGGGGGGGGAATCCTCAGGAGGGCAAGTGGTTAAATGCGCTTTTTCAGAGCAATAAAATGTATGGGAATACAAACCAACCCCAAAGTCCAAAAACACTAACCTGCTAGTACTAACATGGCAAAAGGCAAAGAATATGGACCACACAGGCGGGAGACATAATACTTCTGAAATACCCACAAATCCTTATCACTGGAATCACCAAGCACACAGTCTATCTCCCAGCCCTCCTCCATCGCAGCATTATGGTGATTGCACAGATGAACTCTAAAATAAAGATCTTTAGTAAATATGGACTTCCCCGGAGACTGGCAAGGCTGGCAATGCCATATGACCTCATTTTTAATCTACTCCGAGGAATTCCCTTTAGGAAACGTCTGTCTTCAATAACATGAAAG